GGAACTCCAAAAAGCTCCGCGAAGGCACTTGTGCGATACATTGTGTACCGCGAAGCCCCGCGAAGCCACTTCGCGTAGCCCGGTAACATTGACACAGGCGAAGCCACTTCGCGAAGCCACTTCGTCGTTTGAGCGTATTGCGTGCTTTCATGGCAAGTGTGTTGTGCGCTTTCATGGCAGTAGTATTCCAAAGGTTGATGATTAGAGTCAGCAGGCTACGACAAGATTACAGGAAGATTACGGGAAGACGACCGGAAGAGCACTGTGCGTTTCAGGCTCGGTTTTGCTAGAAACGATGGAACGTTTTCGCAAAGCCTCTGCGAAGCCCCCGCGAAGCCCCCGCGAAGCCTCCGCGAAGCCACCGCGGTCCAACTTCCATGCTCCGCCCCTTTGAGGCCCAGCCATGTCCCCATAGTCCTGAAGCTCAATGCCTCTCTTGCCGCCTTTCATCGAACCCTTTCGCATGGACTGTCAACTTGATTCAACAACATGGGGGCACAAATGTGAGAGATGTTTGTGGAACACATCCGCGAAGCCCGGCGAAGCCACTCCGCGAAGCCACAGTCTTGCCGCGAAGCCTCGCGAAGCCAACCTTTCCACAAATTCTGGCCCCGCGAAGCCCCCCGCGTAGCCTCCCCAGCAGTGTATAAGCCCTGAACCTCTAAAAAAAACAATGCTCAGTTGGTGAATGAACGTAGTTTGTGCACATGGACACTGTAACAGGAACTTCTTCAACTTTGAACTGGATGGCTTTGCACAGAATGCTGCTGGTAGAAGCTCGTTGTGTTGGTGTGTGTGTGTGTGTGTGTGTCGTGCACTGAGTGATGCAAATTAAAGGCTCCTGAGTTCTTGTCAGTTTTTTTTTTTAATGTTTGTCTACGTGCAACATGTATGTACATACATACATACATACATACATACATACATACAGACATACAGGCATGCATGCATGCATGCATACATACATACAGACACACACATACACACACACACACACACACACACACACACACACACACACACACACACACACACACACACACACACACACACACACACACACACACACACATGCATACATACGTTGCATACATACATTGATGGAGCCCTCCTTAATCAAGCTCAAACACATGTTGTGCATTATGACACCGCGGCCAGGTGCACATTGGTCACTCGGCAGCAGAATTTGCGTGAGGATAGTGGCAGCAGAACGAGCACAACCGCTGCTCCTCTTTGTGCATAACAATTTAGATCAGCGATGTTTGCCTTTGGTATGGACGACCACCGAATACTCGTACCAAGTATTTTAGTATGCTAGGATCCCCAGTGTGCGGTCGATGAGCAGTGAAAAGTGCACGTATAGGGCACAGCACAGAACATGCCAAGCTATCAAGCTGCCTGGACCGTGTGGACCAAATTTCAGGCTTTGTCTGGTTGATGAGAAGTGGCAACTGCAATGCATTGTTGCACGAACAGTTGATACGGATGTAATTGTATGAAGCAACGTTCTGCCGCGCATCCATCTGCAGCAAGTCACGCAGATGTCCCTGTCAATAAACTGTGTCAGAAACTTGGGCCTGGTCCAAATTGGCAGTTTGGTTCAAGTGGCTAGTGCGCATCCTATGGGATGGTGACCCTGGGATTTGGACTTGTTTCTGTGACCTCAAAACTGCTGAGCTAGCATCCTTCAAGCTGAGCTTGTCTCAACATAGGGGAATCCTAAACTGCTTGGTGTCCTTTCGGTGTCCTTTTGGTTTCCTTTTAGTTCCTTTTAAACCGACCCAACAAGGGTACCCTCAAAAACAAGCACCCATTTACCAACTGAGAGCTGAGCGGCCGAAGCAGGCGACCCAGCGAGGTGGACCGCAGCCAGGACCTGGGGTGGGAGGTTGGCGTTCTCGACCTTTTGGCCATGCGAAGGCTTCGGAACTTGATTGGAATCTCTTTGGAAGTCTTATGGCCATGGGTCAAATCCAAATCGTACCCCCAGTGAACATGTGAACATCCGATTCAATCCAACCACTAAAATAGGTTCCAAAATGGCTGATGAATTCACCCGGACCCCCAAAATGAGATCCCAAAACGGCTTTGACCACCACAGCCATATCGACATTGTGAGGTCATGGCCAGAATCGGTTAAGTTGTAGCCCATTGAGCTGGATTTGCATCATTGCGACCTGTCGTCGCTTCCGCTTCCGCTTCCAAGACGACCATGCCCCCCAATTTTACCAGACGACAATGCGAAATTCAGTTTGGTGTTTCCTGGCATTTGGTCTGTGTCTTGCGGGTACCCATCAATAATTGATTGGGAAGCCATACGCCAAAAGCTTTGGGAATTCGCTGCAAGACTGGGAGACTAGACGTGTGGCTTTAGCCTCTCCTTCCGGTTGCTCGCGTTCGGGATTCGGCTGGGTCAACGTTCGGCACCTCCGCATCTTTGCCCTTTCAAACGCTGTTGGAAGAAAAGCAAAGTCCTAGGTTTCAGGTTGAACGTTGGCCGCCTGCCTAACTTTGGATTGGCAGTTGCCCTGCAAGGACATCGCTGCCATCGCTTTCTGAAGAGGCGACGGGGCACTCCAAGACCTCGGGAGGGGAGTTTCCTGGGCTTGCTTGGTGGGCTGCTGGAACATGGAAAGAAACCTGTGAAACTCAACCATCCCACAGAGTGAGACGTAGCGCGGAAGGGCGAGAGTTCCCATTGAGTTGTTGGGGATGAGACCGCCGGATGCGAGGTTTTCATGCGAGGGTTGGCCGAAACTCTACCCTGTGTGTGTTTGTGCGTTTATGTTTTGAGGGTACCTCTTTGGGGCTTGGGAAGCCAAATGGAAATTACTGCTTTGGGGGCCCGGGCGGATCTCCATTTGCAGACAAACCCATCTGTAGTCACCGCACAGCTGTCTCAAATTTGCTTGCCTGTGTCCAGACTCTTGGGGCAAGTGAGCAACGCCCAAAAGCGGTCGGCGAAAGACAAACGTCGCGAAGCTCGCGAAAGCGTTTCCCGCAAACTCGGTCCGAGACGCTACTTGAGTGTTTAGACGGCGCTTGCAAAAGAGCAGCGCGCGAAAAGAGCGTTGATTGTGCGAAAGTGTGCATTTCATTGGTGTGCACTGGCCGGGGGGGGGGATTTCCGCGGAAGCTCCGCAAAAGGCGTGAGTCCAAGATCCAAGAGGCGGCCCTTTTTGCGCACTATGCTTGTACCGAAAAGTTGCTTTTTTTGAGCTGGGGCCGGGCACTTGGCGCGCTACGTTGGTTCTGACAAGTTGCGGTTTTCGAGCTGGAGCTGCCACGGTGTGCTTGGTGTACGATTCTCGTGCATACTGAAAAGTTGCCCTGCTGATTTCAAGTAGCCGCCGCAGAAGCGCGGCGAAAGGGTTGGCAGATGCGGAGGCTTCGCCAAAGCTCCGCAAAGGAGCACTATGAGGGTAACCAAGTTTCGACCGGTTTTGAACAGGCGTTTGGGCTGACAGATCCAAAGAGCTCATTAATGGCCGATGAAGTATGACTACTTGTGGCCGGGGATAGTCATCGACTTCCACTGGACATTGGATGTGTTTGAACAGAAACATGGGAACCTCCCCTATGTGCGCTTAAAAACAAACACGAATTATGAGACATACCCGGCCCAATTCTACAGTGCTACCCGATTCTGTTTGCTGTTTCGCCTAGTCCTTCAGACTACGAATCAGAGAAGCTTCGGGTTCTACTCACCATCGGAACACCACTGGTCGCATAGATTTGAGTGTGTCCTAAAAGAGGAGCTCCTAGTATCTTCTGGTTTGTATGTTTGGAAACACCCTTGTCGCCTTGTTCCACCAGTCGCAACCGACAGGTGGAGCAGATTCGGCGCGAGAACGCCCTATCCGTGGTGCGCGACTGGGCCAAAGCCGGAACAGGGCCAAAGGCAACTGTGTCCGTGGCCTGAGCTGGGCATTACCGACTCTGCTGATTTGGCGACGTGCAGATTCTTCGGCTTTGCAAACTAGTACGCGAAATGTATCCTTGAGCTAGGGCCGATCTTTGCTTTTCGTACTGAAGGCTGAGCAACTGCGAGTTGCCAGCTCTGCAAGTCAGCAGAAGATTGGGCTTAGATCTTGTCCACGCCATGAAAGTTTGAAGCGTGATGAACTTGCTTTGGAGTTGAGATGTAGTCTCACTTGGCCGAAAGCGGCTGACCTTATGCAGGATCAGGACTGCACTGATCATGACGCCTTCCTAGTGGAGCAATTTGTCGTAGGGGTTCTTCGCTCCCCTCCATTGATCCGTTCTCGTGTATTCAGTCATGCCCTTACGTGGCCTCCAGTGTCACCCAGCGCCTTCTTTGGCAGGGCCCAAAAAGTCTTTGCCGCCTTGCGGACACAGCCTTACCCGTTCCAGGCTCACAAAGATCTTCTGGGCAATTTGTGTCGACCTCCCAGAGGGCTTTGGTCTGTGACCTTGCACATGATGGAGAGGCTCACAAGTTTTGCCCAATTTCCAGTGTTTTTTGTCACTCAACAAATCCTGTCAACATGAAGCAATGGGGGGGGCCGGGAATGACATGACGGAATTATGCCCATTTTGAAGGCATCCATCTGGGTTGAGAAAACAATGTGCATAAGTTGTGCTGTTGGTCAGGGAGTCTACGTATTATGCATTTAGCATCTTTGGCACGCTGCTGATTAACTAGTCAGATCTCAGGTCTGGGTTCTAAGAATGACCAAGGCGGAGGCCAAACGAAGATGACTTGCCGCGGCAGCTATAAAGAGAAAGGAAAAGACCATCGCCCATCGTTTGGCGGGGGTGGCTTCCCGCCCATTCAGAGGGTTCACAGTGGATCCCCCTTTGGGTGCGTGGGAAGCCAAAAGGACCGGCGGGTCGACATATGGCTGTGGCACCGGTACCAAAATGGAACCCTGGTAAGTGGAAACATGGACCAAAACCTGCGGTTTGCCCCTCCGATCGTTTAATTTTGAGCCACACCCATATCACATACCCATCGCCTCGCCACAAACCATCTCCAGGCAGAGAGGCGCAGCTTCTTGGAGAACTTTCCGGGGGCCAAGAAGGCAGGAGGGTTTGGATGGCCGTAGCACTATTGCGTACTATCCAACCGAATTACATAGAACAATTATTTGTGTAGTTGTTTAGCCTGTTGTATTTGGAGTTGATTTTTTTTTTACCCGCCCCCCAGCAATGCAGGGCCACAGGGCTCCATCTAGCTCTCCTTTGGGTGATTTGAACATCTTCGATGAGGTGATTGTTAAATAAGGAATAAAGAGACAACGTTTTGGGAGATCATGCTTTATGAGCATGCTGCTCACATGGACGTGTGAGCAAAGCCAACCTTCTGCGGCGAATTCCGGTCAGGTGGTTACCCTTCTGACAAATGTTGCAACTACCGTCGATGGCATGCCTTTTTGCGAGGGTACCCTTTTCGGGGCCGGACAGGGTAACCAAAAGAAAGCCAATTTTATGGTTGAGACAAGTCGGATTGTGTTTCGCAGATTGCAGTGGTCCTCTTTGGGCGGCCCGACGACGACTTCAGAGACTGGGCCAAGCAGCAGATGAGGCCGGGGCGAAGCGCCTGCCTTATCGTGTTTATGGTTCAAGTGCTTTTGTTGCTGCATCGAGAACGACTGCGATTAATTTCGAGTACGAATGTGTACGCTTCCTGCCTCTTGAGCTTCCACCTTACTGCTGTACTACCTACCCGCCTGCCTGCCCGCTTGCCTTTGAGACAGGAGGAAAGCCAACCAGAATTGAGGTGAACCCTACTCGTGAGGCATGTGCCTTTTCTTGAGGGTTGCTTTTTTGGTGGGGTCCGCATAGGCATCGTTTGTGTGTTGGTACCCTTCCTGGAGGGGAAAACCATTGGAGCACTTCTACTTTACGGGGTCCCCCTTATAGGGCAACCATAAGTTAAAAGCATGGGCAAACGCCACCATGAAAACGAAGATCAAAAAGGAGGCTACTACTCTGGGCTCCACATCCTGATTTTGACATACTGGTGGAATTTGTGGTGCATCTTTTGCTCTATTTTGGACCTAGCCACTTCCATTTCACACCTAGCCACATGCTAGGCGCCAGCACCAAGCCGCCCGTGCGGAGCTGGACCGGCGCATCGCCCAAGCGGAGGCAGCCGTTGTTCCAGTTGCTTGGTTTTTTTGTTGTGTGTGTGTGTGTGTTGGTTTAGGTTGTTTTGTTCGAGCTCTGTTTTGTCATTTGAGGTGGTTTTACCTGGTGTCACAATGGTAATAGTGAGGCTTATACAGTTGCTCATGACTTTATTTATGTCCATGTTGGAACGAGCAGTCCACAGGTCGTGAGCATCAAAACACGACCCCCTCAGGGAGAGCCACCGTCAAAGCGGTCGAAGCAGGGCCACTACCTGGAACACCCACGATGCTGAACCGGCAGCGGGTTTTTTTAGTCGAAAAGAGCCCCAGTGAGCAGTCGAAACTTGGGGAAGTGATGGGACAGGATGGGTGTGGGGGTGGGTATGGGTGTGGTACCCAAAATGGGTTGCCCTGGTAAATGGAAACAAGGACTAAAACATGCAATTTGATTCCTAGTGGTTTGATGTTGACCCATACCCAGATGAGATGTACCCACTGACCCTCAGTCACACTAAAAAATGAAAGGTGCCAAGTCCTTAGTCAAAACTTCCCGTGAAAGACCCCGTTCAAGTGAGCGGAATCTTTCGCTCCACCAAGCAGGCAAAGCATTCCACTAGACTATACTCTTATATGCTGCCTCTCTGCATGCTTCAGACTGTTGCCTTTGTAATATTTGTTGATTAAGTGTTGGGTCTCGTCTCAACCACTCCAACACTGCGGAATTCGCCCTAGGCCTTGAAAAACATGGAATTTGCTCCATTCGCAGCTTAAGCTGCTCTTTTCTAAAGCTCATTTTATTTGGATTCTTTTGCCGGTTGGTTGTATGTAAGGAGAAGTGGTCACTGGCAGATTCATGTTTATTGAGTGGTACCTTCAGCAACCGTAAGCTTGGGAGACGACAAAAACACCGCAGGCTGCAGGAGAGCAACCTCCCGAGGACGAGCTTCCGGAGCCTTCTGACGAGGACGGTTGACCCTTGGGCGGGGAGGATTTGTCGATGGAGCTTACAGTATATACAAATTGTGCTGCCTCGCAAACTTGCAAAACCCATGGGTGGTACCAGAAAATGGTGTTGACACGGCTTGCGCAGTGGAGGATGGCAAAAACCAGTGGTTTCAAACTTTGCAAATCGCGTCGGCATCGCACAAACAGTTTTGGGATGCAACCTCACCCATGTTGAAGATTCCTTTCATAGGTTGAAGATTCCTTTCATAGGGACTCCTTAGCCATTTTGGATGGGTGAATTCTGATAGCTTGCCAGCATACATGCTGGCTATGTTGTGCAGCAATCGGGTTTGTTTGTGGCAATCGGATAGAGTTGGGAGAGTGCTTGCAGTGTTCGATGTGACATCACCGCTTCCAGCCTACTTTAGTGTGTACCAGACAGTGCTCACGCACACAGAACCGAGTCAAGACATTGTAGCATCAGCCTGGAGAACGTGATCACCGTTTTGCACAAAATCAGGGGGTAAAACGAGCTCATCGATGATACATATACGCGTACTCCGGGGTTGGCGAGTATCCCATGTTGCGAACCCCGAATTGATCCAAGTTTTGAAGTTGGATTCACTCTCAGATTCAAGTCTTGCCAAACATCCGGGACATTCTCAAGCAAGATGTATTGAATGCCACTGATTCTGCAGAAAACCAGCATGTCCTTGATCTGCGAGTGCTTCTCGCATTTTTGTTCGCCCAGTTTTTCATGGGCCAAACAGTAGAGCAGCCGAAGGCGATCTTCTTGCCCAGCGCTACTGCGGATGTCGCTGAGAAGCCCACAGCCCAGAAACCGCCGGTGCCATCAATCGGACCGAAAGGAAGGGCCGTTTGATTCTGATAACCAGTGTTTGTACTGCGGCCTGAAGGGAAGCCAAAAAGGAAGTCAACCAGATTTGGGCGTTTGATTTTGAGATCAATGTGTTCTTCGGGCGTGTGAGTTCTTTCCGCACTGGATGGACTTTTGTGCATACTCACGAGCTGAGAACTAGATCAACCTAGATCATTTTCGGGGTGTAGTCTCAAGTTAGGCTTTGAGGCAAGCACTGCCTTGTTGGAGTGGGATTGCCGCTGCCCAAGTGGCAGACGTGATGTTTTAAGGAGACATCTTGGAAACTCTGGTGTGAATATATACTGTATACTACTCAGTTAGCATCGGTTTTGGATACCCGCTACCCAAGACGCTCGCACCTTTTTGGGCATGTACTGTCACCCTTTGGCAGAGGGATACTTCGCCCTCAGGCTTGACTGTTTGTTGTTCCATATACCGGAAGGTTTGTTTGAAATGTCTAGCACAAAAACCGGGGGTCGAAACACTCCTTATCCAATTTCCAGTATTTCTCAACACTTCGAGCGTAGCGTATATGAGCTACCAGGAAGATGTTGGTTGTCCGTGACTTCAATGCCATTAACGTGGCCGTCAAGGGTTCTCAAGAGAGCCATATCCTCCACCCCAAGAGTTTGCAGCGAGGGGAGAAACTTGGCTCAGCGCAGCCTGCGTGCCCTGATGGCTGGAACCTTGTTTGAAACAAATTTCCTTAGAGTGCTGCTGGGGAATCACCCACTTGGGGCAAACATTTCCACTGGAGTTGCAGGACACCCATTTGGTTCGGATTCAAGCGCCCTAAACCTCCGCACCTTTTAACTGCCACATTTGGGGGAAAATAGCCGCCAAAATAAATAACTGAATGCGGAAACCATCTTTGGAAGGGTTTCCCTTTTGTCCCACAAACAAACAGGGTTCATGGGCAAACAAGGGCTCTCCCCTGTATTTTCCTCACGTGCTGTGAGCTAATCACACCAATTGTGCCGGCATGGACCCCAGACAGCATGGGAGATTTGACCGGAATTGCTCATTTTCCGGAGCGAATCAACTTCAGCGCCAGTATCCACCACTTCACCACTTCGCCACTTCGCCACTTTGCCACTTCGCCACTTCGCCACTTCGCCACTTCACCACCATGACCATGACCATGACCATGACCATGACCATGACCATGACCATGACCATGACCATGACCACACCACCTTAAGCACCCAAACGGCACCCTGACCAGCGCCCACCCGTCCCGATTTCGCAAAACAATTCCCACCTCTTTAGAAGCAAGAAACCTGATAGCTAGCGCTATCTGCGGAATGAACCAAAGCTGAAAGGTACCGAAGGCTAGCTCATTTTCCAACCGGAATCCATGGTGTGTTGGTCATGGCCACCCATTCGCGCTGAAGCTCAGGCTCTTGGCGCGGGACTTTGGCAGCTTCTCTTTGCCCAGCAAAGCGGAAGGCCCACGGCCCCCAGTCGATGGGTCAAAATGCGGTCGGGGTGAGGGGTGTAGTCGCCCAGCCGGTACGGAAAAATTTTGGACCACTAGGGTTTCTAGAGATCCTCCATGACTCACAGGAGTTGTGAGGGCACATATGAGGTTCGGTCAAAATATCATTAGTCCATGGTCCATGGGAGGGATATGAGTGGACGAGCTCTAAATTTCTCGCAAAACCAGGAGGCTCACAATTTGTCCCATGTCCTTGACGAGGCGAGTTTGTCCTTTTCGGGGAACCCTCCCACATGGACACACCCACTTGGAAGCTTTCAAAGCTTTGAAACACAGAAGTCTGCAAGCGGCCAGTTATCGCGGGGGCCATTGAAACACTTGGATTCAGAAACTAGGGCGCCCTTTTGGAGAGGCAGACGGAAGGTGAGTTTGGAGTTGTCCAATGGTCGCTGCAATGAAGCTACGCGGTTGATTCGTGAGGATACGAAGCATATGACAATAACTTGTTTCAGTAGAAACACCCGGCCCAAGGAGCATAGCCGTAAATTGACGCGCCCTAGTTCAGTGGCCCAACTTGACGCAGAAAAAAAGCATGGGCGCAATCAATCCTTACCGCGGGAGCGCATGCCCACGCCTTTGCTTGCAAGCAGAACTGGGTTTCCGGGGCTTACAGTATCGGGGATGGAGCCTGCCGATGGCCCAAGCCGAATCCAAAAGGACGTTAGCCACCGCTCCGAGAAGTGAAGTGTGTTGTGTTTTTGTTGTTGCTTTTTGTTTGGGGGGGAGGGGGGTTGGCCAGATATGTTGAAGCATTGCAAGAACGTAGAGAGCACGAGAGACACCATTTGGGAATGGGATGTCTTCTGGCTAGATACTGAACATGGGCTCATGGTGCATGTAGCAAAGCTGACAGATACTTATAGAATATGTTTGCACAGCAGACTACACCTTTTGTGCAAATTATGCAACATGTGATGATGAAGTTGGCTGAAAGACAAAATCGCGGACTGAATCTGTCAAGGTTTACTTACATGATGGCAGAGGGATGTGCCACCAGAGGTGTTTCCTGTTGAATTTTCAGGCGACCTGGTGAGTGCAGTCCCTTGATGCATACGAGCCCCGCAATATGTTTGTCTTCTTATATTTGTGGTGCACATGGTGCGCCGCGAGTACTTTCTCTATGCAAGCCATGTCCTGGATTGAGGCTTTGCAAGAGGGATATTTTCCAACATGCCGCAGATGACTAAACAATAATCTCGAGCCACAACGGAGTTGGTGATCACAGTAGCTTGCTGCGATACTTGCTCTCGTCGGGGCAAAAGGGAAGCACCTTCAATGATGAGACATCGAGACTCATCTTCTGCGCAGGCTTTGACGAGATACGATACGAGTGGGCGGATGAGGCTGCGTTGCATTTGCTATGGTTGATCCCGGCCGGAAGGATGCGGGAAACCTGTAGGGTCAGAACAATTGATCCTCAGCATTTATACACAGAACGTTCACCCTTTCACGTCCGAGACAAGTGGTGCACCCGTATCAACTCAAGGAGGTAATGAGGGCGGATTCCCCAAATATTGCAATCGAACAAGCACAGGCAAGCGGAAAAGCCAAAGGCAATTTGCGGTGCGCGAAATGAAAGGGATCCGATCGTTGCCCTGGCCTGCTCGTAGCAATATTGAGGGCATCCGTATCTCATAATCTAAGACGCGGTTGAGGGGAGTGCCACGCAACCACAAATATTACCAAGTGGATTCTATTACTCGTTGCTTTCCTTGGCTACGACATTTGGGAGATTCGCTGAAGGATTCATAGCTGCCGTTGCGGCAACCACAAACGCTGGCCGCCGGACCGTGGGATGTTCAGACGTTGATACCAAGTGTTGGACCCTTGGCATAGCCTGTTGGTGGCAACATATGAGCTTTGGTCAAACTTACTGGTATTATATGGTTCACTTGGTAGGGACATGAGGGGGCTATGTCGAAGAACTCACTAATTGGGTGTGCGTTGTGAAGCGATTGAGCCTGTGAGCCACAGCTTCCGCCACGTCGTCGCTGGTCACTTCTGGTTGAAAGCAACGCAAAGAGATTGCCCGACGTGGACAAAATGGTACGAACAGATCCTGAATTGCGTTGCACAGATGTGTGTAGACTTGAGACTTGCACAGACTGAGGCGGTTAAAGACTACCTCACTGGACAAAGAACAAGCCCCCTTCAAGTGTAGTCGATTCCTCTTAGCATACCCAAGTTGATTTTTGGATATGTTTGGTAACAGTATAGCCCCACAAGGCCCCACAAGGGTGCAGCCGTTGCGGTCATTTTGTGGTCCCATTCTTGGCCAGTCCCTTGAAAAGCGGTCCGCCATGGGCGCCTGCTGCTGCCACGAGCTTCCGGAAGCTTCGGAGGCGTGGTGTGTCACACGTTGATTAAAAGGTCCGAGAAACATGGGATGACCATTGCTTGGCTAGGTTCCCCCGTAGTGCCCTTTTGCCCTTTTTTGGGGGAGGGTTCTCCTACTAAAATAGACTACTGAAAAAGGGTACCCTTATTCTATCCTCCCTACTGGAGGACCTAGTTGGACCACCACGAAACAGTTGAGTGATGTTTTTGACCACATGGGAAAAGTTGCCCTTGGTCATTTGGGGGCCGAAGGGACCATTGATCAACACCCCACATTTGCTTGACACAAAGTTTGTGGTGTCTCTTTTCCATGAGAAAAGTTCTCAAGCCCGCAAGATCCGATGGATTTGGGTCACTGCTCAGTGAGATGGTCAGACTACTTAGTAAGACTTGGTAGGCAGGATAAGTTATGTGTTCAGCCAACTCCTGTTGTCCAACTTGACACCGTGGTGAGAACCTTTGAACTAAGCGGTCGAATATGGAAGCAAACCCATTTCAACGGCGATATGCACAAGCGAAGCTCGGACCGACCAGCAGTTGTGGCTTGTGATTGGCATGATGTGCCCGACATGGAACATCGGCGTTGTTTCAAGCCAAAATCCACAACCTAGTGCTCAGACAGACACAGAAACACAAAGCCACACACACAAAAGCGCAAACGCAAGACACCACAAGCATGAACATACAAAAAGTTTCACACAAACACGCACAAGAACGCAAAAGGTTGCAGAGCAGCGCCAGACGTCCTTTGGTGGGCAAGTGACACCTTCCTTCGCGCACAGGCTGGAGCGCATGTATTAGCATGTCTTTGTTTGGACTTGAAGTCAACTACTCTTAGCAAGTTGATGGTTTAGATTGTCACGTCGCCTGTGCTGCTTGCCAGAGGAAGTATGCAGAATCAACATCGGGATTGTCAGGCCATCCTGGTACTAACCAGGCATCCAATTCAATCCGATTTAGAACCTTCCCCATTGACTCTTTGTCTGTAGCAGATGAAACCACTGAGGCTTTGAAACTGGGTATGCGCTTGGTTTGTTTTTGCACCAAGTAGCGATTTGATTGGTATTAAAGGGAAAGCAAAAGGGGCACCATCCCCAGTTGATTGTTTCCCTTGTCTTTTTTCCGTCAACCTGGTCACCCAGAGCCGTGCAACATCCAGCCGACAGCTTATTGCAAGCCACTTCCAAGCCATGCGACAGGGTCTTTGAAATTTGTTTTTGCATGGCCAACAGGTGACTTTAGAGCAGGAGAAGAAGACCGCAGAGGCGCCACAGTGGTTGGTGGACAAAAACCAGCTTTTGAACGTCTACGAAAAAGGGACCGTGTTCAATCATCCCCCCATGTGTATTTCAGGTTGTTCCGGCAAAACTGGCATAAGAATAACCAACTGAAGCAAACTGGTGAGCGGTGATAGTGAGGAGCTTGCAAAGCACAACACAAGCATGGACCGGCAAACGAACGCCCTTACGCTTATTGACTGGTCTGCAGCTTATCCAGGCTGTTGCCAGCTTGCTCCTCATTGCAGCATTTACTTTGCCAGCTTAATGAACCCAAAGATGATTGAATGCTATTGTTATCAAGGGCTCGAGACTAACGAAGAGCAGCCGGGAGGAGTGCCGATGCCAGTCCATCACGCAAAGGTTGAGCGCAAGCCTCCGAATCGCTGCAGGCAAGACCAATAGTCAAACTATAAGACCAAGACTATGAGTACAGAAGACTCGGGTTCAAAGGAACGTGGCCTTGTCTTAAAATGCGCCTTGGGGGAGCCTCCCGGTTTCATCTTGTTTTCATCTTGGTTTCCCTTTACAGAAGCCCGTGTAGACAGTTTCAAAATTCTGTCCATTCAAGCCTGGTCTGGTGTGACGCATTGATGGGAGTGGAATCAGCAACGAACCCTTTGTTTACATTGGTCTGTGCCCGACCCAAACCTTCTGCGGGGCGGCCTTTGCCATGAATTGTGTGTTCCTGGGCATGGCCCATGGCTGCTTCTTCTTTTAAAGCAGACTTCTGCGTGCGTCTTCGATTCACGGAGCCAGCAAGAGACACATGTTAACTTGGAAGGCACAATCCGGCCAGCAAAACCCACGGCTGCCCTTCAGACTCCAAAATGTGGATTCTGACTCCGCTGACTCCGCGCAGTTCGGCCCAAACCTGTGATCATCGGATCCCTCCAATCGCCCCGCGCCTCGTTGCCATGGCCACGTTGCTGAACACCATGCACGGCTCGGCCGAGCCCACCACCTGGGCTCCAGAAGGCGACGGGCTTTGGGCTACGATACATGGGGGCGGCTCTTGGGTTGATCTGCGCATACACATGCAAGCACATTGTTTTTGTTTAAAGAAAGGATATATATATATAAACAAAAACATATATAGATGCACATGTGTACTTAAACATGTATCCAACCATCAGATTCAGATATGATCAATGTGGCTCGCTTTTGATGGGCTGTAGCCCATCAGGGCGCATTTGCTACCCCCACGTGTGAGTAGAAAACCCCCGTTGCGGTGCGTGGTTTACTTAAACCACGATCACCTAGCAATCATTGCTTGGCCATTCAACTAAAGCATCAAGGAACAGGGTTTGCCACCGGGCAACAGATTCTTGGGCTCCCTCTTGCCACTGTCCATTCTGAGGGCTTCCAACTAGAGTCAGAAGCTACCCTCCTGTCCATTAAGATGTACTAGTACTGTAACCCACCAGGGAGGGTCCTTCTTAGAGGTAGATTGTCTGCCAGGACCCCAGAAAGTAATCCTCTGTGAAATATAGGGATTTACCGAGTGACGGACCAGGGAAAGGTCAGGCCATCTATATGGGTTTTGCAAGCTTGTTTCGGACAGGCAACATCATGGCACTTGCTTGAAGGAGAGCCAAGGGGAGGCTGTTTAAACAATTGGTGTTTAAACCGTTTAAACCCTTCTTCCCAACAAAGATTCCGCTATTTCAATCAATATGAGGGGACGGCCTTTTCGTGGAGCCCGGTTATTCACCTAGGTCCCCCAGTAGTGCCCTTTCACCCTTTTTGCGGGAGGGTTCCCCCAAAATAGACTACAGAAAAAAGTTGGTACCCTTATTCTAATATTCTAAACTCTCCACTGGAGGACCTAGATGTCTTTAGTGGAGCCCGGTGATTCACCCGTCGGGTTTCCTATTTTTCCGGTGGCTGTGCAGGCGCCGCGCTGCCCGCCATCAAGGGCGCTACCTCGGTGCGGTCTCCAAGCCGTCGGCCCTCCACCGCCTCGGTGCGATCCGATGGAAACGGCTCCCAGGCGAGGATGGATCTTGGTGGGGGTCAAGATTCACCAACAGAAAACGCAGATTTTAGTCCTTGGTTCCAATTACAAGGGTTCTTTTTTTTTGTCAGGCTTCTATTTTGGGTACCCATTTTTAAGCCACAGCCTGGTGGCTCCCAGCCATCCCCTTAGTGTTGACCCCATATTAATATATTCATCAACACCAGCTTTTGAATAGGGGGTGTGTCCCTGGGTTTAGTTGGGATTCATCACTTTTGGAGGGGAACATCCCCCGATGAATTAACTGGGGTTGATTTATATGGGGGCTTTTTCATGGGGATCTGAGGACAGCTAAGGTAAGGGGAAGCCAAAAGGAACCAAACTTATGTACCCCCCCCCCAAAAGGGTGGCTTTTTTGAGAAGAAAACCATACAAAGCCCCCCGAAAGAGCGGCTTTCTTTTTGTTTCCCTAACTTTGGACCAATCCGAAGGGACTGTCAAACAAGATTTATGGCCATGGTCGGCGGATTCCAGAGAGGCTGGGGGGGTCCGGTGAACTGGGGCTCAAGAATGGAAGTACACGGAGTAGCACCCCTTTGGTTGGAAAAAGGAACGTATTCAGTTTTGGGAGTTCATACTTCATAGCCTTGGAGAAACAGGGCTCCGAGTTGTTTCTGCACTTCAGCAGGCTCCCGAGATGCTGATGAAGCAGGCGGAGCAGTGGCGTCAGCTCTACCACGACTCAGAGGCCACCTGCGCCCAGGTCAAGGGA